GAATGAGTAATTTTACTCTTAAAATAAGATAATTAGATAATATGCACTTGAAATAAGTCATTGCAATTGTGTTTTCTTATTTTAAGTGTGAATTGTCTTGTTCCGTTGGCAAAATGTCTCTTTTACCTCCTCAATTCAGGAACAAATGCACTTATTTTAAGAAAAAATGACTTACGGTATCTAGATTTAGATTTTTTGCAGTGGGCTCCTATTTGTTCTGCTGTATTGCACTTTGTGTAATCATTGTTTATTTTGCAGAAATAAAAAATAAATCAATTTTTTATTATGAAAGTTCATTAAAAAATGAAAATGCATTATAGTTGGATAAAAGTGAGTCTGCATAATTTGTCAAGTCTAGTTCAATAATTTGATATTACCGTAGTTTAGTGTCAGTGGGTCACGCCTCACAGTGGCGCGAACCCACCTTTTGTAGACCATAATAAATATTTGCTACATACTTTGTTGTATTAAAATTAACAGCCAGTAGTAGTTAGTACTAGTAGTTTCTTAAAAGTAGTATATTTATTAACGGTCCCTGCATAAACCTTATGTGTGAGGGGGGAGAAAGCCTCTGGCATCATGCCTGAACCTGGTCAGCACAAGATAAAAAACTATGAATTATTCAAAGCAGTTAAAACTATGAGATTTATTACATTTCTTTCCTGTCCTTTTAGCTTCTGGCTGAATTTTCTAGATGTTTTGAACATTTGTAGTGTTCCCTTCAGCCTCCAGGGGGCAGCGGTAACCTGTGGGACCTGGTCTTCGTTATAAACGGTCAGGACGACTCGCTGCTTCCTGCCAGCTACAGTAAAGGAGTGATGCACATGAAACACCTGGTCAAGTTTAAAACGGTGAGTCTGTCCTAAACGCCGACTGTAAGCTCCACCCCCACTCAGACGGACAACCAATCATGTTAAAGGTAGATTGATACATGAGCCAGCTGATATTCCTTGTATTGGCATTGGCCAATCGGATTGGATCACGTGAAGATCATGCATTGCCGCTCCCTCCATTTGCTATTTATAAAGGTTTAGCTTGATTTACTAAATGTTTATTTTTTGGTTTAAATTGAGGCTGATTAGAAAGTTTGGTAACATTTGTTCTCATTGTTTAGCAGCACATATCAGGGATCCGTTAGATTGATGTCAAAATAATTACTATTGGCTTCAGCCTTTAATTCTTTAAAACATTTTTTTTTTTTACAGATTTCTTTTTTTTAAATACTTTTTTATTTCTATTTTCAGAAAAAAAATTTGTAAAAATTTAATTGTTTTCAAATTAAAGTTTATGGATCATATAAAAAAAGAAAAGTTAAAAAGTAAAAAAATCTTAAAATACATTCATTTCTGAATATTTTTTTTTTTATTTCTATTTACAAAATGTTTTTTTTTGCTAGAAGCACAAATGGAACAAATTTCACCCCAGAGCAACGAAACAAACATTAAACACAAAACTAATCTTAAAATAGTACAAGTTTTTTTTAAAGATAAGTGTATTTTCCCTTAATTTAAGCACGTTAAAAAATGTATCTGCTGATGCAAGGAGTGTTTTTACCCTTAAAATAAGATAATTAGATTTCATACACTTATAATAAGTTAATGGAGAGTTAATTGAGTTTTTCTTTTCTTAATTTAAAAGTAAATCATTATTTAGGGTTTCCATAGCTTAATACAAATTAAATTTAAGGTTTTATAAGACTTTTTAAATGTCACTTGAAATTTGAAATTAAGTTCACAATAAAACAAAAAAAAGTTTATTTTACCTTTAAATTTGACTTTCTTTGTCCAGTGTAAAAGTTTCAAATTTTGGAAAAAGCATTTAGTATATGTATGGAATCAATTTTGTTCCATTATTCTTACAACCAAAGAACACCTTTAGTAAATATAAATTGCAAAAAAAAAAACAAAAACAAAAAATGTGCAATCAGAAATAAAACATTGAAAAAAAAAATACATAATAGTTACAATATTTAAAAAAGGGTTTTCCAGCCAAAAATATGAAGGCAAATAAAACCAAAAGGCAACAGAAATCAAAGAAAGAGAAACAAAGTAACATAGATATGCATTAAATTGTTGCCAAAATGAAGGATAAACCAAAAACCATGAAGAGAAATAATGCTCCTAAAATAATATAGACATACAGATGTTGACAGATCGGATAATTTTATTGCTTTAAATAAGAAAATTATCTACAAACTTGAATTTGAATTTGTTTACCAAAATATCTTATAGTAATTAAAAATTACTTAATATAAACATGATAAACAATTGATGTTTATTTCAATTTATTAGATAAATAAGCTGGCTGGTTTGATTTGACATTATTTATTTTTTATTTTATGTATCTTGTTGCTGCAGCGATTTATTTTGTAAAAATATAAGTACTTAAGACTTTAAAACAATGCTCTGCTTTCATGCTTTAAAAAATTCAGCATAAATCCCTGCTTTTTTGTGGTCCAAGTTTTCTTTTTTTTTTTACTTTTTTTTTTGTTTTTATTTTCTTCTATTTTATTATCTAATCCATGTAAAACACTTTAAATTGTCTATAAACTGAATTGTGCTACACAAATAAAATTGCCTTGCCTTACAGGGAGAAAAAAACAAACTAAAAAAACTTAGTGAAGTCAAAGCAGTGATATTAAAGCAGTTAAAGCAGTTGGTAGGGTTGTTTTTTTTTCTGTACAGAAAAGTGTAATAATGAAACTGTTTGGTTGCTTCAGTCTGAAGCTCAGGAGCTGACGATTGTTAAGATGTCCAAGTTTGGAGGAGGCATCGGAGCTCCCAGTAAAGAGGAGCGTCTGAAAGAAGCAGCGCAGATCCATCTGAGACTGGGCCAGATCCAGAGATACTGTGAGCTGATGGTGGAACTGGGAGAGGTGGGGCTCAGATCCCAGTACACTAGACCATCGGTTATTCTGGTTCAGATGTGCTTCACAGCTGCTGCCGTCTGTTTCAGTGGGAGAAAGCCTTATCTGTGGCACCCGGAGTCTCCATGAAGTACTGGAAGAAACTCATGCAGAGGTAAACTTTCACCAGAGCCACAGTTTCTCATTCAGTCCATTTGGGTCCAACGAGGAACGACGGGAAAGATTTGTGGTGTTGCAGACGAGCCGATCAGCTGATGGCCGAGGATAACGACGACGCCATCCCGTACTGCGTCGCCACCGGGGACATTAAAAAACTCGTGAGCTTCTTCACCAGCAGAGGGCAGCTGCTGGAAGCCTTACTGATCGCACAGGTAACAGGGAGTAAAGCAGGCGCTTTGGCTATACAGGCGTCTATATAACAGCTCTAACTATCGACTGATTCCAGGGTGCGTGCGAAGGGAACATCCGTCCACCACCTACTTCCTCCATCAACCACACAGCCAACGACGTGGACAACAGACAGCAGTACCAGAGGTAAAAACGTCGGTCTGCAGCTTAGATCTGTTCAGCTAACCGGATGTTGATCTCAGTCCCCACCTAATCATATTTAAGTTTTTCTAAGCAAAATTTACAATAAGAAAGGTTAAATCTGATCAGCCGACAGACTCCAGCTCCAAACACTCCACTGTTATTGAAGTGAACCTACAAAGATGTTAAGTGATCACATTTCTGACAGAATCAGAGGTTTGAGCTTTTTAATCTATAGCTACGATCTCTTGTTTCTTTCAGCCTCCTTCATATCGTTTGTAGGGGACTTGCAGATTGGTATTTCCAGGACGGATGCTCGGTCCTGGCTGCATGCTGCCACCTGGCTGTCGACAACATCCAGGTTTGCATCTTGCTCATCAAAGGCTACGTTTACACTGCAGGTCCTAATGCTCAATTCTGATTTTTTTTTATTTTTTTTTTTTATTCTGTGAGGCAGTTCACATGACTGTTTCAGATTGTGTCTTTGAGGTGACCCACATGCTCAGAAGTCTGCATCTATGGATGGCTTTAAAGCTGTTAAACTGTGGAAGTAGCCGGATGATACAGCAGACCACAGGAGAAAGAGAGCTAAACTTTTAATTACATATTTTTGTGAAGCACTGGCAGTGACATCTCTGAGGGCGCTGATGCCTTGACGATTTAGCCAGCGTATGCCTGATATACCAGAATCTCTTAAAATGCTGGCATATGGTAAACTTTCTATGTATTTTTTCAATTTTGGGCGTATACATAGCATATTTATAACTAGTCCAGAACTTATGTCCAACGACAGCCTAACTTATGCAGAACGCACGATCGTGTAATGCCAATGAAAAGATGCACAAGCCAATATCCTGAGGGGCACAGCGATGCGCCCAAAGGCGCCCGGCTAGGGCTGTCACAATAACCACACAAATTAAATATATCGCAATATCAAGAAGCTCAACGCGCTACAAAACCAGCCACCGCCATCACCGCATCTTGGGACAACAGTTGAGAAGGATACAATGGCAGCTGCACTGATATCAAAACCAAATGTTACTTCGCTCCTTTGGGAGCATTTCGGTTTTCAACCAAATGAAAAGGGGGAGCCTGACAATTTAAATGAGGCAATTTGTAAAAATCTGCGGCAAATCTATTTAAGTAAAACGTGGAAACACAACGAATGTCAGGGCTCATCTGACTAGCTGCCACCCAGCTGTTACGGCGCGACTACCGGCTCATGTCGGTGCCAGCCACAAGGACATGGCTGAGCTTTATATCGCCGTCATTTGTTTGTTTGTGAATTAAGAATTATGGTGTGTGTTACATTTAATTTTGTATAGGCGCACTTAAGTAAAAAAAAAAAAATAACAAAACGGGCACTTTTTTTTTTTTTATGAAAGATTCTGCAGTCAAATTTGCCTTTAAAAGGTCATCCTTTTTCTGAATCTTGTTAAGTTCAGTCAGAGAAATGAGGCATATATGTGCCATTACTGCCCTTTGATCAGTGTTCAATAAAGTGTCGAAAACACATTTGCAAAATAAATAGATAAGAATAAAGAAAAAAAAAGATGGTTCAATAATATCGCATATTGCAATATTTAGCCTCCTTGGATAATCACAGGGGAAATTCCTCAACCGCGACAAACCCTACGCCCGGCCTGCATAAATAGATTTCTTTGATTGTGGTATTAACCTAGCTGCTGTTTACCACTCGAGAAAGACGGAAAGAAAGAAGGTTTGCAGTCACAGCAGTTCCAGAGTAACCTCGTGAGACCATCGTGATCTCGCGAGCTTTCAAGATTTCACTCGCTAATCAGTCTGGAGACTCTCCGTTGAAGAAAATTTGGAGCCGTTCACCAAACGAACGTCCAATCAGCGTTGGCTTTGAGGCGGGTTGAGGTGTGACG